TCGCGTCCGGTTGGGATCATTTGACAGCGCTTTGGAACTTTTCGGCGAATGCTCCAGGAGCAAGCCAGGTCTTTTCTTGCTTGAGCGGCAGGTGTTGTTCGGGAGTGTAGCTCGGGAGTGTAGCTTTTGCCTCCACCTGTTGGTACAATCACTTGCTCCATCAAGTAGCTGTTCTCTTGTTTGCTATGCATTGCGATTGTTGTGAGGGCTCCCCTTGTAGGCTGAAGCTTGCCTTTTGCTCGAGTGCCTTGCGTGGATTGCGTTAAGGAAAATCATCTCGCCGAGCGTGCGGTGCTTCACGGGCAGCGAAGCTTTGCGGCACACAGCCTTTTTCCGGTAGGTTGGGGGGCGTTATTCCACAAATCCTGACGGGTGTGCGTTTGTCTGGTGCCCTTTTCGTGGCATAATGTTTTGCCGGGCGGTTTATCTATGAGAAGCCTGCATGCCTTCGAGCGAAGCCGCGGAGGTTTATGTTTGTTTTTTTTGGCCGGGGCAGGCGCTTGAAATCGTGCTGCCGGCCTAGGCGATGTCGTCTTCATCTCGCATGGGAAAAGCGCCCAGCATGAGAGGCTGGCCGCTCTCTCCATAGCTCGGATGGTAAGCCTCCACACTAGGAAGCCCTGGCTACTCTGCTCCCCCGACTGCAGTGAATCCAGCAGATGTTGGTTCCTCCATGTGCCACAGCCGCATTGCAATAGGCAGCGCCTGCACTGACCGAAGCTCGGGTCGCCCAGCGGCTTGGCGGAAGTTGCTGGGAGTGAGGGGGGAGGGTTCCTAAGGGCCGTTCCCAGCCATCCTCTGATTGTTTTTTTTTTTTTGTTTGTTTTCTTTCGGGGCTTAGCGGCGGTTTCCGCGAAGTCACCCAAAGTTTTGATTTTTTGCAGGGGATTTGGGCGCAGCCCAGAAAAGGCGGTTCCTTCGAACGGAACCAAAAGGCAGTTAGACCAGACCTTGCCCGTCTTTTTTCTATAAAAAATCCTGGGACCCCCCCCCACACTTTTAGCAACATTTTAAAACAGCACCTCAAACAGCACATTTTCAAAAATCAACATTTTAAAGCAGGTAATTTCCTAGTAAGTTCATCCATATTTTAAAATATATTTTTTAAAAATAAATTTTACAAACTTTTTAAAAAAATAAATTTTACAAAATTTAAAAAAAAAACAATAAATTTTAAAAAAATAAATTTTAAAAAATAAATTTTACAAAAAAAATAAAAAAAATTACAAAAAAAAATAAAAAAATAAATTTTCAAAAAAATATTATTCCAAAAATTATGATAAATTATTATACAACAAATTTTATCACAAATTTTGTAGACATATTATGGGCAAGGTCTGGTTCATTCGTTTTTTACGGGCACCATTCTTCCTTAATTCTTTCTATTATTTTATCACACGTTGTTTCATTATAAATATTACTTCTTATTTGTTTTCTAAACATTCCCATTATTCCAATTGCACGTGTTATTGTATATCTAAGTTCGTGAGTTTTATACCGATCATTTAAAACCTCATGTAAAAAATCAAGGTCATTATCATTCAATGTTTCATATTTTAAACGTTTAATGCTAAAAGACATATTGTATAATCTTTTTACCATGCTATAATACTTAAAAATAAAGTCATTAGCGTTTCCTTCATCATCGCCCTGATATAATAAATTATCAAACCCTTCTATAGTTAAGAAATTATTCATTTCAATAAATACAAATATTTCTAAATCATCATCAATAGTTTCATTATTTATAATATCAATATCCTTGTTATTCATATCATCATTTTTTTTTTATAATTCTATTGCAATTATTGCATATCATATATTGACAAATATTATTACAAACGCCATTTGTAAAACCCCGTTCAATTGGTAATTTTAGCATTTCACAGTCTCCACATTTATAACTCATAAACTTTTTTTTTCAATATATTTTTAGCATCATGGACTGTATCACTCATCACACTATATAATAGTATTATAAAATATTTCTTTAAATACTTTTTACAAGAATTTTAATTTTAAATTAAAATTAAATTAGTAAATTAAAATTATAATTAAATTATCATAATTAAATTATAATTATCATCATTTACAACTACAATTACATAGTTTACAAAATGGGATGATATTTTCTATTGTATGAGTTAATTCATTATCTTTTCGTTGTGCTGTTAGATTAGTCATTATATTACCATTTTTCATATCAATAGTAAAACCGCAACCGCAGTAATTACATTGATTATTTATATTATCTAAAAACCATTGAGTATTTACATAACCTTCTCTAGGTATGCTTCTTTTTGCTTTCCTGTCTTGTTCCTTATAATTCAAAATTTTCCTTTCAAAATAACTCAATACATTTTTGATTAAATACATCATCAACATCCTTTGTATATTTATAAAATTTGACTTTGTTTAAATCACGAGCACGTGTTACCGCTGTAAAAATCCATTCTGGATAATTCTTTACCAAAAAATGATTATAATCAAAAATTGTTATGGTGTCATCAATGCTACTACCTTGAGTAGAATGACATGTAGAGCAAGAAGAAAATATAAAATTGCTTCTTATTTTAGCAACTTCTACGGATTGTAAAATTTCGGTTTTTACATTTTTTAATGTAAATATTCCATCACTTCCAATATGAACTATTTTATATTTGAAATTTACATTAAAAACTGATGTTTTAGTTTTAGTATATTCTCTACAAATTAAAAATTCCCCTACTTCATATTCATCCTTTCTATTTTCTAACTTTCTAATTTCATTTGATACATTTTTACAGGTTGTATTCAAAAATGCTATGTTGTTTTTGGAACTACTTATGTCTGTGGTGTATTCAAAGTATTTTTCAATAATAGTTTTAATTGGTAATTTATTAATAAAAATATCATATTTTATATTCTTGAGTTTATCCTTATCTTCCTGTGTGTTAAGTCTCTTACATTCTTTCAATATTATATTATGTGTAAAAATATTATCTATAATATTTTCAGTGTATAATTCATAGTCTTGAGTATTTGTTATTTCTTGCACTGGTTTTAATTGCTTGGTGTCTCCTGTTGCTATTATAATTTTGTTGCGCTTATTTTGCTCTACAAATTGTTTTATTCTCCAGTATATATTTAAATTACTAAAATAGATTTCATCAAATACTATTACATCAAATTCTGTAAAATCAAATGGTTCTAATTTAGCATCTCCATAATTAATACCAATTAATTTATTTATCGTCATTGCTTCTCCTTCAAATGCCTGTAATAGTTTATTAGTAGGACAAATAAAAATTACCTTATAATTTTTATCAACCATTTTTTGACATATATATGATTTTCCTGTGCCCGGTAGTTCACCTCTGATCATAATAGGATTATTCTGTTTAACAATCTCTATAATGTTATCAGTGTCGTATTCATCTTTAATATCAATAGTTTTACTTTCATAAGCTGGTATTTTTATTAATTCATTATTTACAACGTTGAATTTTACTGTAGGTAAATTAATTTCATCTCTCTGCTTTGAACTTTCCAACCTCCTATATCATCATGAAATTCTAATAATTGCTTTGTTTTTTCTTCATTGCATGTATCAATTACAAAAGCATCTGTTTTTACACTATATATATTAATAGTATTAGTTATTAGTGTCTTAAAGTCTTGGTTCATTTTAAAATTGTGATGTTGTAAAAGTAGTTCTTTAATATATCTATATCCGTTTCTTAATACTGCCTTATCCTTCAAATTCAATATATAATATGATGCCTTTACATCCCATTCATCCTCATCAAATCCATAATATGTTGTAGTTGCGCCTCCTTCGTCGTCATATTCGGTTATCATTTCGGGATATTCGCTTATAATATGCGATAACTTATTAATTTTACCTCCGTACTCTGTTTGATAATGGACTGCTTCATCAATACTTTTAAATAAAATACTTTGATGTGCTGTAGCACCTCCCTTTTCTAATAATCCAAAATTTACATTTGCTATTAACTTTTTAATTAGTTTATCTAATGCTTCGTCATGTTCATCTATATTTGTTTGTAAAAGTTCATTAATAATATTTGTATATTCAACCTTATGAATAAATGAAGGTTGTTTATAATATAAAATATTGATTTTGTGTGTCTTATTCTCATTGATGAATTCCTTCAAAAACTTGCCATATACTAGATTATATTTTTTGTTGAAAAATAAGTTGTGATTACCACTTATTACAATGTTTCTAATTGCTTGTTTTAATTCATCAGGATTTAAAAACAAACTTAAATCATGTGTTTTACGAAATTCTATATAAGTAGCAACGTCAATACCTTTACTATATGCAATAGAATATATCATCTGCTTGGTGTGTTGATTTTTCTCTATTAGTTCCTTAATGCTGTCCATTGTTGTTTTTAATGGTCTTACATTTGTATCTATAGTTTCAACAGAATATAAAGTTAATTCATGGAGTTCATCTATTTTAATTTCATCGTTGTATTTTTTCCAATGATCAAACTGGTTAAATACTGGTATTTCCCTAATATTTAAAAAACCTTTGGTAAATGCTTTATTTACATCTATTTCTGTTTTATAAACTAAATTAATATTACTCAATAATAACCCCGAAGGTGCTATACTTCTTGTTTCATTTAATATTTTAATATCAATGTCGTTATAAAAGGATTTATGTGATGACATGAATAAGGATTTATTGAAATTAAACATTGCTTTGTTCATATTGTTGTATGTAGTTTCATTGCTCACTGCAACCCATCCATCGCCGGAAGATTTAATTAAATTTTGAGTTTTTATGATATATGTTATCTTGTTCAATCTTAATCTTATTTCATCAATAATACCTGTGTATTTAATTCTGGGTTCATATCCAATATTCAACAACTGGAATAATAATTCTGCCAAATTATTATTTTCAGGCACTAAATATATTTCTTTTGTTTTATCATCAGTTTTAATTTTAAGTATATCATCTATACATTTAATCATTTTGTATTGTGGCGGTTCTTCTCTTTCATTTATATAATAATCAGTGTGTGCCTTTATAGTAGGTAGTTTTGTTATTAATTGCTTTTGTTGTATCTTACATAAATCATAGTTTAATGTGTAAATATGGTTATTCTTCACCATTGCGTAAAAGGTTTTTATATGGTGGTTTCTTTTTTCTGGTTCATATTTATAAACAACTTCATTTACAAAATTGAAAATTCTAACTTGAATATTAAACTTTTTGAATACTGCTTCCATTTCTTGAATGGTGGCTCCTACCTCCTTAAAATCATCCCTACCTATGATTTCAATAATTTTGTCTCTTGTTAATCTGTTGCGGGTTTTTTCATTCATGATTGTATCACTGTAAAAATCAGTTAATGAATTTATCCAACATTCATTGTCTATATAATTACCTTTCTTGATTGCCTTTTGTATAGTGCCCTCGCTCATTTTAATAGGTGTGTGTATATATTTATGATAAATTGATACGTTTGTAGCATCCCTTAAGTTTTCGGTTAATATATTAAACTTTTCGCCGTTTTTATTCATCACTTCCACTGATAATATTTTGACACATTCAATATCATTATAAAATTCTGTCATTTCTCTATATATTTCATTAACATCTTCATCTGTTGTTAATAGATTTATTGTGTCAGTAAATTCGTCATTTGGTGTATCATTACTGCTTCCATATCGTATATCCGAGTTGCCTAAGTATTGAAATATCTTTTTTTT